TTTTTAAAGCAGCGATTCCTTTTGAAAAAAGTAGTGATTCTTTTTGAAAAAGTAGCGATTCTACATTATTATTATTATACATTTGTTACATTATTATTTTGTTACATTATTCTTTTTCCAAAAAGAATTGCAACTTTTTCAAAAAGAATCGCTACATTTTTCAAAAAGAATCGCTACTTTTTTCAAAAGGAATCGCTACTTTTTTCAAAAAGAATGCTACTTTTTAAAAAAAGAATCGCTACTTTTTCAAAAACAATCGCTACATTTTTCAAAAAGAATCGCTACTTTTTTCAAAAGGAATCACTACTTTTTTCAAAAAGAATCGCTAAATTTTTCAAAAAGAATTGCTACTTTTTAAAAAAGAATCACTACTTTGTCCAAAAAGAATAACTACTTTTTGCAAAAAGAATCGTTAATTTTTTTTCAAAAAGAATCGCTACTTTTTCAAAAAGAATCGCTACTTTTTGCAAAAAGAATCGTTCATTTTTTGCAAAAAGAAGAAAAAGTAGTGATTCTTTTTGGAAAAAGTAGGGAATTTGTTTTGAAAAAAAGAGTGGTGTAAAAATACGCTTATTGCAATGTAATTATACATTACAGTGTTATTATACGTTTTTACAATGTAATTATACATTTATTACAGTGTTATTATACATTTGTTACATTATTATTATTTATGTTAATTCCCTCTTTCCTGTTTATATATTCTAATCATCAGGCCAGCATTCTTAAAGTTTAAGTTTAATCATTGAGTGAAGCCTGCTCCTATTCCCATTCATTACAGTGTCATTATACATTTATTAGAATGTAATCATACATTACAGTGTTACACATTTATTAGAATGTAATTATGCATTTATTACAGTGTCATTATACATTTGTTACATTATTATTATTACACATTTGTTGTTATTATTTTGTTACATTATTCGTTTTGAAAAAAGTAGCGACTTTTTTAAAATGTAGCGATTCTTTTTGAAAAAAGTAGTGATTCTCTTTTTTAAAAGTAGTGATTCTTTTTTAAAAAGTAGTGTAAAAAATTTAATTATACATTTGTTACAGTCTTATTATACATTTATTACAATATAATTATACATTTATTTTAAAATGATTTTTCTGTAAAATTAAATGATTCTCAATATAGGTGAAAAAGAGAAGGTGACAGTCAGAGAACCTTTCAGCATTTTGAGGTTTTGGAGTTGGCCCATTATTCTGATTTGAATAATCACATCAGATTAAGAGTGGAGAAAGTGTATTTGAGAGTGTATTATAGTTTCATGATTTCTTATTTTAAGTGAATAGATCTAAGCATTTCGACACAAAATAGTCTGACTCTTGACTGTAATCAGTACAGTGAGTCATAACACTGCATGTGAACATGATAAGTCAAATGTGAAAATGTACGCACTTATTTTTCTCTTAAATGAGTATAGACCGCATAAACCATGGCCTTGGTTGCAAATTGTGTGTGGAAAAATTAGTGTAGCCTTATCCATCACACTTACATGATAAGTAATGAGAGGGTTTGTGAGTCAATGTTCACCTACTCATAAAGGGCCACCAAGAATCGATTTATGATGATGAGGGTCTCCCTGGTGACACATTTATCTGAGCTAGTATACTGTTGATCCAGTGAGGGGCCGATATTGATTGTAATGGTGTAAAGTGCTTTCACTCAGGATTAAGGGTAAAAGATAAGATGTGGTTCACGGTTTGAGTTTCATGGATAAGTTCCTAGCACCTCTGCAAACAAAACCATCTAAATAAAATGCTCATTTTAAGTTTAGTAGTCAACTGCTACACTTTGAGTTTGACTTCTTATTTAACTTCATGTTAGTCATGTGCTGTTTGTGAGAATGTTTTCTGTTGTTGCAGGTGAAAATAATGGGGGTTTGGGTTGCTGTGGGTGGATCCTTGTGATTATCTCTGCATTTTTCAGCGTCTTAATATTTCCAATCAGCGTTTTCATAAGCATTAAGGTATGAAGCACAATAGAACAAAGAAAACAGATAATCTTGAAAAGTATTTATTACTATTACCAGGCTCTCTGGAACCAGTTTTGTTTATTGAGGTTTGATGTTTATTGTCACTGTCATTGACACTTGATTCTCGGCTGGTTTTGTACTGGTTTCATGACTCTTATATCATACAGCTTCTTTTTTCATCTCAAATAATAAAAGTAATGTATTAAATACATTTTCACATTTCAAAATTTCAACTCTTATCGGTATTTCACTTATTAATTTTAATAATTCATCTTATAAAATAAGATAACTAAACACTTTCCTGATATAAGTAATAAGTCTTGTATTTGAACAGGAAGCAGATGCCTGAACGTGTTGTTTAAATGTTTTATAACCCACTTTATGTGTTTTCGTTGCTGTTTTATAGATTGTGAAAGAGTATGAGCGTGCTGTCATATTTAGACTGGGGCGGATAACAGATCGAAAAGCCAAAGGACCAGGTAAACAAGAACGTTAAAGTACCTTCTTTAGAACTTAGTAAGAAACTTTCCGTCTCTCGGCTAAACAAATGCTGGAGTAACGCCAGCTTTTAATGTGTTCCTCTGATATGTTCATGTTTCAATTGTTTACACCAGCTGAGGACTTTTACAGAACTTGTTCTTAAAACAATAATGACCTACACGGTCAAACTCCTGTACAATGAGTCAGTTTAGGACAAATAATGAATCAATGTGTATAACACAGATCATATAACAAATATAATTAAAAAATGTCACTTGTGTCTAGGAATCTTCTTCGTTATCCCCTGCACGGACTCTTTTGTCAAAGTGGATCTGAGAACCATCTCGTTTGACATCCCTCCCCAAGAGGTCAAGTAAAAATAGATAGGCCTACGCAATAAACGAGAAGTTAATATTGAGTAGCCTTACTTGCATTTAACAAACAAAATTGCCTATTAATTTGTCTAATTTAGCTCCACCAACAAAAATAGTTCCAATCGAAGTAAAAGTGGGCATACAGTAACTGCTATGTCTTATAGCAAGTAACAAAATGTCGTTCCTGAACGAATCAGTGTTTCGGTGAATGATTCAATGACTCACTCATAAGAAAAGCCATGTTTCATCCTTGAATGAAACTCTGTTTTTGAGCGCAAAGTTTAAGGCTGAATTAGGAATATTAGCATACTATTTTTACAATTTGTGCCATAATATATGGGAAAAATTGTAATAGCAGTATGCAATTTTGAATTCAGCCTAAGTGAATGACTGACTCACTAATGAAGATGTCCCTTGTTTTATTCCTGAATGAATCAGTGTTTTTGAACAATAGTTTGAATGACTACATGACTCAATCAATTGTTGTACAGCCTAACGTTTAATACAAACGGCCTACATTTATCAGTTTAAGACTCACACTTAATATTAACTTAAAGGAGAACTCCGCTCAATTTTAACATTGATTTAATTTTTTTTTGTACATTTGGAGTGCTGTCAGTACAGACAAAAACGACAAAAATCGGTGTTGCCTACACCGTGTTATCCTCTTTTTAAAATTCGCACCCTGTTGACTTCAATGGGGCAAGTTCAACCTGCTTTTAGCCTCTTAACAACCTTAATGTGTCATTACAAGTGCACAGCCATGTGAGTGGTGTTGTTAAGAGTGACCACGGTCAATCTGACTGCAGTAGATGCGAAAGATATTAATAAAAATTATGTTAATTCAGCCAGCTCACATACCTGTATTTACTTCCTGTTTTCGTTCGAAGTCCACAGTAGTCAATTGTCGAGTTCGCGCGCGCGATCATTAGTTATATTAGTTACCAATGATCGCGCGCGCGAACTCGACAATCGACTAAGTGTAAACTTCGAACGAAAACATGAAGTAAATACAGGTATGTGAGGTGGCTGAATTAACATCATTTGAACAAAAAAATGAGCTCAATGTTAAAATTGACTGGAGTTCTCCTTTAAGCATTTAGCCTACTAAGTTTCCATATTTTCATTTTTGTTTGCATTTAGATATTGACCAAAGACTCAGTGACAATATCTGTGGATGGTGTTGTGTACTTCCGTGTAAGTGACCCTGTTGCCTCAGTGGCAAACGTGTCCAATGCGGATTACTCCACCCGCCTACTGGCCCAGACCACCTTGAGGAACGTCCTGGGGACCAAGAACCTAGCTGAGGTCCTTTCTGACCGAGAAAGCATCTCCCACAGTATGCAGGTGTGCTTGAGAAAAAGAGACAAAAGTGCCCCCAATTATAATTGCAGTTTGTCCAACAATTCTTCTCCCTGCTACAGGTGACTCTAGATGAGGCCACAGATTCGTGGGGTATCAAGGTGGAGCGGGTGGAGATTAAAGATGTTAAACTACCACAGCAGCTGCAGAGAGCTATGGCGGCCGAGGCCGAAGCAACCCGTGAGGCTAGAGCAAAAGTGAGTGTTACAGCCAAACCTTCCTAATATGTCCTAATGTATTTTAATGATAAAAAAAAAAAGATAAAAAAGAAGCCTGGTGACATGCAACGTTTGGTTTCTGTGTGCATTGGCTCAGTATGTGATGCCACACCGTAATACTGTTTTGTGATAATGCAGGTCATTTCAGCAGAGGGAGAGATGAATGCATCCAGGGCTCTGAAGGAGGCGTCTCTGGTGATCGCAGAGTCTCCATCCGGACTTCAGCTCAGATATCTCCAAACTCTCAGCACCATCGCAGCTGAGAAGAACTCCACCATCATCTTCCCTCTGCCCATGGACATCATCAGTCACTTCATGAAGAAATGATCGCTGAATATTCACAAAGTCTACAGATGTTTGCTAGTCATTTATTAAGAAGTTTTACATTGTTTTCTTATGTGCCATGTTTTACACATATTTCAGTTTATTACATGTTGTAGGAATGATGTCATATATATATAACCATAAAATAGTGACGCAAATTAAGGTTTACAAATTACTTTATTTAAAAAAATACAATGTCATATTTCAGAAAGTATATCAGTGTTATGCAACTTTCAAATGCTAATTTTATATTCTTATAGAAGTATGCATGAAATTAAATAAAATCTACAGTAAAAACAGAATTTCTTTAGTCATTTTTTTCCAAATGGAAGTCTTCAAGCTGTTCTTCATCATAAAGAATCATTCATTTAGGAGAAGAAGAAATCAAGAACGTCTTTCGGACGTTCAGATCAGAGTTCTTAGTCCCAGAGTTGTAACCTCTCGATTCCCGTAATTATATCCTAACGTTCCACTAGAGGACACTATTGTCGTGTCAAAGACTTCCCGGTGTCCATGTCATGGTGGAATTTCAAAGATTTCTGTGTGGTCTTCCATGCTCTGCTGTGTCAGTATCATAGATTCTTCATACACATCCAGACGGAGACAAAGAATAACACTAAAGGGGAGATTTACAGTACAAGTTACATTTCAAAATTTAATCTGTGACAATTTTAAATAGAATTAAACGGATAATAATATCCTCATTGGAAATTATTTGGTAAGCACTTAAAAATTAAGGCCTTGCATTGGATTTTGTTACACTATGGCCTCAGAAAGTTTGATAAATAACAGTTTACATTTTTGGCTGAACTATTTCTTGAATAAAAACATGTTTTCACAAGGATAATGGAGGATATAGCGGTGGGACACTCACCAGATCAGGGTGGCTGGTATGACAGTGAGGCCTGCAGCCAGCAGGAAACTAAACCCGGAAAACCAGGACAGTGTAGATGCATAGATGCTGCTGAACATTGTAAATGAAACGCCAACACTCAACATCTCCACAAAGGCTATACACGCAAACATGGCACCTGTACACAAACACACAGGCACAAGAAACAACCTTACAACAGCCATCAATAATTCAGAGTTCATGTGAATTGGGAATGTCCTACTTTTTTTGTGCAACTCCTGGATTTATTTGGCTAGATGGGGATGATGTGCAAAATACTATAATGATTAAACTGAACTGAAAATTATTTAAAAAAAGTTATTCTATTATGTTCTACACTGTTAAGTTTCTTACCTTGCTCAGATCCAGACACTATTTTGGACATCATGGATCGTAGGACAGGAGTCGGCATGATGGACAGCAGCAAAGGCAGCCGCACTGCAATGAATAAAACATACACCATTGTTGCACCGGAAAATAGTCCATCCATCCATCCATTAGAAACTCCATCAATGTCCAAACTCAGTCTTACCCAGGAACATGAGCAAGGTAGACTTTGCAAACGCTGCCATGATGAGGCCGACTGCCACAGACATCAACCCCAGAAGGATGATGTAGGCATCAGGCACACAGCGGGACAGCAGTGCCACACCGGCAAAACTCACCAGATAGATAGCAGTCGAGAGAGCTGAGCCATAACCCACAAACACCTCACTCCAGCACAGAGGAGTGTTCAGTTCATACAAGATGAAGATGGACATGCCACCCTGCAGAGCTACCTGTGAGGGACACACACACACACACACACAAAAACTACATAACTTTTATTTTTGCATATAAAGTTTAAACACTATACCGTTCAAAAGTTTGGGATAGGGTGGAATTTTTAAAAATGTTTCTAATAGAAGTTACCAAGAGATTTGATCAAAAATATAGAAAAACAGTAATATTATGAAATATTTTTACATTTTAAAATAGCTATTTACTACGGAAGAGGATTAGGGCCAAGCAATAATAAAACATTTATAATCTTACAAACAATTTCTATTTTCAAATAAATGCTGTTTTTTAAACTATTTTATCACTGTCAGCATTGATAATAGCATTGATGATAATTAGCATTGATAATAAGAAATGTTTCCTGAGCAGCAAATCAGCATAATAGAATGATTTTTGAAGGTGATGTGACACTGAAGACTAGAGTAATGATGCTGAAAATTCAGCCTTGCCATCACTGGAATAATTTTAAAATATGTTAAAGCAGATAATTACGGAAGAGGATTAGGGCCAAAAATAAAACCATCTCGAGATTAAAGTCATTATAATGCGAAATTAAACTCGTTAAATTTCGAGAAAAAAGTCGAAATACAATCTTGAGAATAAACTCATTAAATTTCGAGAATAAAGTCGTTGTGTTTCGAGAAAAAAGTCTAAATGAAATGTAGAGAATAACGCATTCGATCAGTGTTCATTGCATAGCATAGAGGACATGGCAGAGTTGGATCACTTAGTCAAGCTATATTTTAGAGTTTATTTCAGTAACAAAGAAATACTATCAACTTTAGCAGTAATGTATTGCATTAAAAGTGTCACTGAATTTGCCCGTGCAGAACTTTACTGATAAAAGACGTTTGAGCCGTCACTTGAACAACTGCTGCATGAACAACGAACAGCGCTGGCCCAAATGCACTCTATGGAATGCCAAAGCTGACTTAATTAAAAATAAATACATAAATAAATATACGAATAAATGTAAAAAAGCAAAAATACATAAATAAATACATAAATAAATATACAAAGAAATGTAAAAAAGTACAAATAAATGAGTATTTATACTTTTATTTCCTTATTTATGTATAATTGTATTTTTTCACACATTTTTTTATTTTTTTATTTATACATTTATTCATTTATTTATTTCCACTTTTATTTATTTCCACATTCATTTATGTATATATGTTTTTATGTCTACATTTATTTATTTTCACATTTATTTATTTATACATTTATTTATTTCCACATTTATTTATTTCCACATTTATTTATTTAGACATTTCTTTGTCCGTATGCTAACGAGGGGGGCGTGTTTTACCTCAGGCATCAGCAATCGAGCTCAGAGTGGCAGTGCTGAAGCTTTGAGGCCACAGTTACACCTTGTGGTGTGTGACCAAACGAAACGCAAGAGCTGTGCGGACAATATCACATTTTAAGTCATGTATATCACCCTAACTGTATGTAGGGTAGGCTATAGGGTTAACACACTAGCACACATGAACAGAAACTGCACTTCAACGGGTCTGATAGCAGGCACTTGGACATGGAAGGGCATGAAAGTATCCACTATTAATAACAATGTAAACGCGGTGGATAGGGCTGATAAGAGCTTGCGTTTACTGTCGATGATGAGACTCGCACACCAGCGCAGAACGCGGAGAGAAACGTACTCGGTTACTAACGTAACCTCGGTTCTCTCTAGAGAGGGAACGAGTACTGCGTAATAGCTTACGCTAGGGGAAAAACTCTTTTCCGCGAGATATTGAAGCCAAAAATTATCCTTAATTTTTTATTAATGTAAAACGCTTTGCAGCAGCAAGCAGACATAGGCGAAACAGCTCGCGCGCCTATTGGTTGCTCTGCAGCAAATGCAGCAGCCTATCGAGAGAGACTCTGCGTGACGTAATGACCAATGGGGGCAATTCGCGCCCATATCGTCACGTCCCGCCAGAAGGGGCGTGGTCTCACCCTATAAATATGCTCGTTAGGCTGATACAAGCTGGTTTTTATCGCTGAAGCGAACCAGAGCGTATTCCAAGCACGGCAAGATACGCAGTACTCGTTCCCTCTCTAGAGAGAACCGAGGTTACGTTAGTAACCGAGTACGTTCTCTTACGAGAGTATCTCTCGTACTGCGTAATAGCTTACGCTAGGGGAACACAATGCAACACGCCGTGCGTACAGGGATCCAACACCAAAGTCCCGGGGGCCGAAGCCCAGGGCTCATGTAGTGCATAATCACCATAAACTCACATAGAGTGGAGGAAGAGAGGCTGGAAGCGTCATTCCCTATAAAAAAGCACCCAGCGGGGCTATCATATGACAATAAAACGCGCAGCCAGGGTGAAAGCTTTCAGCCTGATCTGGGTGGCCATACGTGTGTCAACACTCATGGGGCTGCAGTAAACTCAGCATCTGGGCCGCACAGCGGGGCAGATAGCACTGAATTTTAGACCGCCAAAAGCTTAGCTTGTAAGGCGGGTACCTCCAGGTTATAGTATTTTATAAATGTAGACGGCGAGGCCCAGCCCGCGGCCGTACAGATATCTTGCAGGGAAACCCCGCTCGACCATGCCCACGAAGAGGCCACGCCTCTCGTGGAGTGCGCCCTGACACCCAAGGGGCACTGTAGGCCCTTCGCAGAGTAAGCGAGCGCAATGGCATCCACTATCAATCTGGATAGGCTCTGTTTTGAGGCGGCGAGTCCCTTGGAACGCCCGCCAAACAAAACAAAAAGCTGCTCCGTCTGTCTGAATGACCTTCGAGTCATTAGGCCCAAACTCCATACACGACGCGCTTACTGAAAGCGCCTGTAAGTCCCCTATGCGCTTCACTGAAGCGAGAGCCATGAGAAACACTGTTTTGAACGACAGGTGTTTCATGTCCACCAGCTGGATTGGCTCGAAAGGGGCGCCTTTCATGGCCTCCAGGACCGTGGAAAGGTCCCACGCCGGGACTGAAGGGGGCCTGGGAGGGTTCAGCCTCCGAGCTCCCCTAAGGAAACGCACGACTAAGTCGTTTTTCCCCAGCGACTGGCCAGACACCGGTTTTGCAAACGTTGCTATGGCCGCCACATATACTTTGAGCGTGGATGGGGTCCTGCCCTTATCCAGTAGCTCTTGAAGGAATGAAAGTACTTCCGAAACCCCGCATTCCACAGGTGAAAAGCTCTGGGCTTGACACCATGCAGAGAAAACAGACCATTTCGAGGAGTAGAGCCGCCTGGTAGACGCAGCTCTAGCCTGCGCGATCGTGTTTAACACTCCTTCTGGGAGGCTAGCGGGTACCCGTTGATGGCCCATGCGTGCAGGGACCACAACTCCGGGCGAGGGTGCCAAATCGAGCCCTCCGCCTGAGAGAGGAGGTCTCTCCTCAATGGTACAGGCCATGGGGCAGTGCTGGTCAGCTGCATCAGGGCAGGGAACCACGTCTGGTTTGTCCAGAGCGGAGCTACGAGCAGCACTGGGCATCCGTTCTCCCTGATTCGTTCCAACACCTGAGGCAGGAGCGAGACAGGAGGAAAAGCATATAGGGGGCAGCGGGGCCAAAGATGAGCCAGCGCATCCTTGCTTTTCGAGAAAAACTCCGGGCAATGAGCGTTTTCGTGGGACGCGAATAGGTCCACCTGTGCTCTGCCGAACGTTTTCCACAGCAGCTGGACCGTCTGCGGGTGCAGCGACCATTCCCCTGCTTTAACGGCGCGGGCGTCGAGCGAATTGTAGCGAATAGCCTCTCTTTATAGTGTTCAGCACCCATTCTGATACCCCGGGAAGCTTTGACCACGCATCTGCGTGAATAGCTAGAGGCAGAATGAAATCCGGGCTCCGGCCGCGACAAAACGGCAGCTCGAGAGCCCGGGCATACTGGGAACACAACACCGTGTTTACAGCGTTCGAGGCGGGGGGCGCGCTGATCACAGCGGGCGGCCTGGCCGCGCTCAGCTTTTTTATGGCAGATTGTGCAGAAAAAGCGAGCGGGGGAGATCCCGTAGGAATCGGCGTGTCTGTGAGAAAATGTGGGCGCGGGGCTGCGGGCACATTTATTACACTGAAAACATTGTCGGTCATGGCCGACTGAATGTGTGTTGGTTTCGTTTTTACAGAAACCAAGGGACACGCAGCATGTAGTGTGAGCGGGCATGGTGACATGGGCGCGTTTACTACATTGTTTGCACAATCGACCTGAGACGATTTTATTTGTGCTAGCCCTGCACCGTGGCCGGCTGTGTCTGGGTGTGGGAATGGGCACTGGGTGGGCATTCTTACAACACTCATAACACCATCTGCCGTGGCCGGATTGTTTGTGCGAGTCCTGCATTTTTGTGGGCTGTGTTTGTGTGTAGAAATGAGCCCTGGGTTGTAGGCATTTTCAATACACTCATAACACCATCGGCTGTGGCCGGAATACCAGAAAATACACCATTTATGTGATTTATCTGGGTCGCCGTGGGAACAGCATTTGTGTGCAGGCAAGCGGGCATGGTACTGGCTTGCTTACTGCAAAATACACTGGAACAGTCACATTTTCTGGAACTGAACGAGCGAAAATTTCAGTGGAAGTCTGGCCACGGCGAGACTGAAACACCGATTTCCTAGGAGGCTAGGAAGACTTGTGTTGGTTTCGTTTTACAGAAACCGTGGTAGTGTTTGTGGGCACTGGGTTGTGGGCACATTCACTACATTTAATACACAATTGACATGCGTCGATTTCATTTGTGCGAGCCCTGTACCGTGGCGGGCTGTGTTTGTGTGTAGAAATGAACACTGGGCTGTGAGCATTTTATTACACTTATAACACCATCGGCTGTGGCCGGAAAACCAGAAATACAAAGATTACATGATTTTTCTGGGTCGCCATGGAAACGGCCTTTATGTGCAGGCAAGCGGGCCGTGGTACCAGCTTGTTTACTGCAAAATACACTGGAACAGTCGCATTTTCTGGAACTGAACGAGCGAAAAGTTTCGGTGGAAGTCTGGCCGCGGCGAGACTAAATTTTTATCTGCTG